GGAAGGGGGAGGGGATGGAAAAAGGAATGAAGCTGTGCCACGTGCATGCACCAGCTCCGCACAAGCAGTGTAAACATTGTGTAAGGCAAACATACTAAGAAAAAAGAATTAATAAATACAACAAGCAAAGTAGAAATCTGCTCAAGTAAAAAAAAGCTATAAAGTTAATCTAGCATATTAAATTAACAAAGTAAGAGTTCATAATTGAGAGAAAAATAGGGAAAAATCAGGATATAAAAGATTTAAGGGATTCAGTTAAGAAAGGACCTAATAGATACAGTATACAGATAGACAATAGAACCAACATGGGTATAAAACACTATATTCAACAGATGCCAAATATACCCTATTTAAGATTTATATGAACTATCATAAAATTGGTGTTAAATCATAAAATAGTAGTAACATTGAATATGCAGATACATCAATAACATGAATAAATTTCAGAAACACAATGTTGTGCAAAATAATCCAGAAACAGAACTCTATACATGTAATGGCATTTATACAAAGTTATATAAAGTTAGCTAAATTTTTCTTTTGCATTTAATTATAAGTGTGGTTGAACAGTTTTTTAAGTCTAGAAATCACTTGCAAACGTATCAGGAAAATGGTGACACCCGAGAGAGGGGCCGTGGCCTGGGCAGTCACAGAGGGCCTCTCAGGCACCTGAACACATTTTTGTTTCCTTTTTTGATAGTTGCATGAGTATTAATTTTATAATTTTCTCACATTTCTCATGTGTGTTTTAATGGTGAAATACATATAACGTGAAATTTATAACCTAAACCATTTCACGTGTACAATTCAGCGGTGCTGAGCACATTCCAACAGTGAGCATCCACCTCAGGAGTTTCCGTCATCCCGAGCACAGTCTCTGTGCTTCCGCCCTTCCCGCCCTTGGTGACTTCCGCTCTCCTTCCACCTGATTAATCTGTGCATCCTGGACATTGCACATACGTACAAACAATACTTGTCTTTTGTGTCTGGCTTCTCTCATTAGCGTGGTGTTTTCAATGTTCGCGCATGCTACAGCATGTGTTGGAGTTTCATCCCGTTTTCAGGCTAATCTCCCACTGTATGGCTAGATCACATTCAGTTTATTATCATGGGTGTTTTATGGATGCTTGTCTTAATGTGATACCTCACAGAAAGACACACAAGAAACTATTTAAAATAAAGACAAAAGGTTACGCATGGCGGAGAAGCATGGGATGAGGAGAATGGCAGACCAGGGTGGGAATCAGTGCTTTCACGCCATCTGACTGTTTGACTCACCACTGAATTTACCACCTACTTAGAAAGCGGGGAACCAAAGAGTGAATAAATGAAACACACGAATGAATAAATGAAGTGAGTGGGAAGTGTAAGTAGCAGTATCTGTGATGGATAGGTTGTCAGGGAGCGTCCACCTTCCTCTCACCAAAGGCGTAAAGGCAGAACTGTGCTCGCCTGATCTCCCACCTGAGACCAGGAGGGAGAAAGCAACTGAGGGAATTCATAGCTCAGGAGTGTTACTGCTGCACTCCTTTCTCTCACTCGACAGCGAGTTCCTTGGAAGTTGCTACCTTCATCTTTTTCATCTCTCTTTGCTCCAGCCCAGTGCCTGGGTCTGCATAGGCACCTAGTATCAGCATGCTTTGCTAGTAGA